ATTATTATTCTAACCTGCTACTAAAACATGTCAGAGATGAGGACGCCCCTAATGTAAATAATGCAAAAGAAAAGTATACTATTTTTGTAGAGAAGTTTTACATGTATTATAAATAGCTTTTAAATTTTTAATCGCTTTTATTTGTATCACATGGTATAATTTATTTATCAAATATTTTCCCTCACATTTTCAGTTCTCTTTTTTTTTTTTCATACCTTTCAATTTCCCCCACACATGTTGATGATTAATTAGTTCCAATTTCCAATCATGACTTTTGTCTCTTGATCAGACTAGTTTCAATTACTTTTTGGAGCCGATAATTTGGATGGACCGAACTTATTTGAGTTAGGTTCAATTTTGATCGAATTTATTCAAATCAGACTTAAAATATTCTATCATATTAAAAAAAGTCCATATAGTCAAACTCGATTTTAACTTTTTTCATTCGAGTTCAAGTTGGCCCTTTGGGGTTGGCCAAAATTATAGACTTTACATACATATAAAGCCAAAAATTCCAGCAGTCGGGCTTATTTGAGTTGAATTTAAAGAATCCTACTCCTTAAAAAAACTCATATAGTTAAGCTCGACCCTAACTTTTTTCAACCGAATTCTGGCTGGTCTTTCAGGTTTGGCCAAAATTACCGACTTTACATGCATATAAAGCCAAAAAATTCAGCAGTCAAACTTATTCAAATCGAGCTTAAAGAATTTTACTCCCTTAAAAAAGCCTATATATTAAGCCTAACTCTAATTTTTTTGGATTTGATTAAATTACTGACTCTACTTTTTATGACTTTAAAAGAAAATTTTTATGCGCATTTCATGAGGATTTTATTATTATTAAATGCTTGTTCATGTCGTGTGCGTGCGTGCGCGCGCGTGTGTGTGTGGAATAAGGCATAAAGCACTGTGTGTGTGTGTGTGTGTGTGTGTGTGTGGTGGCATAAAGCACAATATGTGATTAGTAGGCAGGTTATGGGTGCTTGCACAATGTGAAAGTGTGTGTGTGGTGGCTGTTGCTTAGTGATAGGTTGAATGGTAACTTTCGTAAGATTAAAAGAAACATAATGTGGCAAATGATTGAAGGAAGCAGGAGATTCCTTTTGAAAACATAAATTTCCAAATCAAATTAAAAAACTTTTTATTAATTATTATTTTACTCTTTCCCCTACCAACTCTTTTGTGCTCGACCGGCCTCTCAACTTTTTTTATTAAATAAATTTATTTCCTAATCATAAGAATACCTTAGTATTTAAAAGATAAAATTTAAATAAAATTATGAAAATATAAAAAAAATTACTTTAGTGTCTTATTCCAGGATCAGTAACCCTAAATAAATCAAAGTAAAAATTTTATCTCATACATATAAAAGATATAATTAATATTATTTGATTTAAAATTTATTATTCTATGTAAATTAAATTTTGGGAAAAATCATTGATTGCATATCTACTTTTTTACATTTATTTAAATTAAATTTATAATTTTATTGCAAGTCACATACTTATATTTTTTATTACAAGTCTTATATATATCACATATTTTTTGTACTATAGGTCTTAAACTTTCTTTGTGCGGGCCCACATAATCTTTTTATATATAAAAGTTAAAAAATAAATGTAAAAATATAAAAAATATTTTAAAAAATATAAATGTGATATTACTGTGCATCCAACTGTTTATCTACAGTACTTAATATATTTTACAATGATAGTCTCTTTTGTGTGGATTCCACATAATCTTTTCACATATAAAATTTAAAAAAATATCAAAATATAAAAATATTTAAAAATGATAAATCTCAGATTAACGGGGATCCAGTCATGTTGATGTACAGCAACCAGATTCACTTTAGAATAATTTTCATTTAAAATAAAACGAAAAGCATAATGTTGCAAATGAATGAATGTAGCATGAGATTGCTTTTGAAAAAATAGATTTCCGAATCAAATCAACTTTTTATTATTAATTATTATTTCACCCATTCCCCCACCAACTTTTTTGTTCTATCTCAACAGTTTTTTTATTTACTAAATTTACTTCTCGAGCATCGCACAGATACTTGTGTATTTACTTTAATAATTAAAAGATAAAATTTGAATAAAATTATGAAAATTTTAAAATATGTATTTATTTTAGTGTATTATTCCAGGATCAGTAAACATCTCACTATAAATTGAATTAAAAATTGTTATCATATCATATAAGAGATATAATAATTATTATTTTATTTAAATTTTATTATTCTATGTAAATTAAATTTTGAAAAAACTCACTGATTGCATATCTAATTATTTAACATTTTATCTAAATTAAATTTATAATCATATTGCAGGTCTTATATCTATCATTTTTACTACAAATCTTATATTTTCACCCTTCAATAAATTAGTTACTTATTTTCAAATTAATCATATTTTTTTATAATTTATTCCTATTAAATATCTTATAATAAATATGAAATCACCATCAATAGAGACATTTAAAAAAAAAGCAATGATTACACATTAAAAGACTAAAAATGCCTTACATTTTTGAACATCTAACTCTTCAAAAAATATCTTACATTTTTTAATGGAGGGAGTATATATATATATAACTTTTTTTCCCACTATAGGTTCTAAATTTAATTTTTTCTAGGTTAAAGTCATTTTTTTCCCCTATATATTTTTTTAAGAAGTGTTAGACACCTTGTATTAATAAGTCAAACATTTTTTTACTTAAATCATTTTTTAGAGGAGCAAAAATTTTCCTCCATTAATGATCAATTAACTCTGCCATTTTTTATTGAATATGGCATGTCCTTTAGCGTTAATTTGTCTGTGAACTCTTTCTCTGAGAGTACTAATTTATCCCTAAACTCTTTCTCTGAAAGTGATGGTCACCTTAAAGTTGTTAAAATAAAATTTAATAAATATTTTTAAAATATTAAACATTTTAATATTTAATTTTAAATATTATTATTAATAAATATTAATAAAAAATTATAAATTATTTTTTAAATATTAATGGCTAGAACTAGTTTTTTAAAAATTTATAGATAACTTATAAATTGTGTATAATGATTTGTAAATGATGATGATGGTGATGATGGTGATGATGATTTTAAATAAATTATAGAAAATGACCTTATAAGAAAATCAATAACGGTTACTCCTTTCGTTTAAAAATATAAGACATTTTTAGTTTTTAGATGTGTAATCATTATTTTTTTTACAAAAGTAATCCTATTAATAAATGACTTTATATTTATTGAAGAATATTTAATAGGAGTAAATATGAAAAGATAAGGTTAGTTTAAAAGTAAATAATTATTTTATTAGGGGTAAGATTCGGTTAAAAATATTTTATATTTTTTAACAGAGGAAGTAAGTCTTTTAAACACTTGAGGTCATTCTATATAATTCTTTTGTCAACTAAGGACCTTTTCTCTAAAATATTCTTTTTCCTAAATTTAATATTTTAATATTTGTAATTTTATATTAAAAAGGGAAGAATAGACACCAAAATAAATAAATAAAATTAATATTATCTTGTTAAATTTATAACTTTTTTTTAATTTTAAAATGGAAAACATATGGCATTATATAAAAATATTAACTAAGAATAAGTGAGACTTCAATTATAAGTATCAATTAATTTAATCATTAGTTAATTAAAAAAATTATAGAGAATGATCTAAAAAACTTAAAAAATTTAATCAATATTCATTTTCTTAAAGATCATTTTTTAATAAATGTTAAATATTTTAATAATATAACACTCCTAAAAAGAATTCACAAACAAATTAACATTAAAAGACATGACATGTCAGCAAAAAATGAAAAAAATTAATGAATTATTAATGATGAGAATTTTTGCTCCTCTAAACCATTTACGGAAATGATTTAAAAGAAAAAATACCTCATTATTAGTAAATTAAATTTTAAAAACTATTATCTTATAGATATAAAAGATATAATTAATATTATTTTATTTGAAATTTATTATTCTATGTAAATTAAATTAAAAAAAATCACTGATTGCATATTTATTTTTTTAACATTTTATCTCAACTAAATTAATCTTATTGCAGTCTCATACTTTTTATTTTTACAACAAATCTTATATATATGTATGTGTATGTATCACCTATTTTTTAATTATAGGTCCTAGGCTTTTTTTATGCGCGGACCCCACATGATCTTTTCATATATAAAATTAAAAGAAATAAATGTAAAAAATATAAAGATCTCTTAAAAAAATATAAATGTTAGATTATTGTAAACCCTATTGATCTACAGTAACCTGACATACTTCACGATAGTATAAGATAAAGATTCTTTATTTAAAACAATATGGTATTGTCAAAGGTTATATGCCAGTAGTGATGATAACACCACTCTAAGGTACAAAAGCTTAAAATAAATAGGAAATTCTTTCATTGCTTTTCTGTGATAATCAAATTAATTAAAACACTGTATAGTGAGTACAATAAAACGAGACGGGTTTTCCACCTTGTTAATGAGAGGTCCACATTCTTCAACCTTTCAAGTGATGTGGCTTAGGACTTGTCTTTAGTGAACGCTGAGTCAGATACTATCACAGGTTTCTTAATTAATCAAACAAAGACATCAACAACAAAAATATTTGAGACATAATTTTTTTCTTCCCAAAATGACCATAGGCATGAATCATGGTGGAGGAAGCTTTTAATTAAGTGAGGTTTTAAATTCAAGTTCGTATGAATTTAAAAAATATATTTAAAAGGATTATCTCTAATTGAATTTGACAATGTTGGAATATGATTTAATCAAATAACTACATTTAAAAAAAAAAAACACTTCAAGATGATTAAACTACTTTTTAATGTTTCTCTCACCCCTACAAGCATTCTAAACGATATAGTTTCTTGGCCAATCAAAAAAAATAAAAGACATAATTTCATGATCCCTCACCTTTCATCTTTATAAAAGGCAATTTGTTTCTCTCATTCTCTTACTCCTTCCCCACCATCTCAAACATACCAAACAGACGTCCCTTCTTCACTTAAGCAACAAAATAGAAATGAAAGATGATGACAAAGCTATCTTACCCCAAGATATCATCATAGAAATTCTCAAAAGGCTTCCTGTAAAATCCCTCATCCGATTTCAATCCGTTTGCAAACTTTGGAAAAATCTCATCCAAACCCCAGCTTTCATCACAAACCACCTCCACCACTCAGCTCACAATAATCCTTCTCTTATCCTCATTAATTCTTGGTACCCACCCAATTGTCCGCATGTATTCCTACTGGATTCCAAGATGGAAATCGTTGAGGTTCACAAGACACCCTTGTCCAATTCCTCAAGGGGGGATGTCAAACTTGTTGGTTCTTGCAATGGCTTGCTTTGCTTGGAATTAGATTACCATGATGATGCATCTTTTCGTTTTATTTTGCTGTGGAATCCAGCCAGTAGAGAGGTAAGACAAGTCACGTCAATAAATAATTATTGGGGCATCCACTCCTTGGGATTTGGGTTTAGTCCTGTAGTTCATGATTATAAGATAGTAAGAATTTGGGAAATCCATCAAGCTGTGGAAGTATATTCATTGAGCCAAAATTCATGGAAACAACTAGAATTTGGGGTTAAAGAAAGAGTTAGGCATATATTTCAACCAGCTGTGATTGTTAATGGGACTATGTTCTGGTTAGGGATGGGGAATAATGAAGATGGTTACATCGTAGTTTCATTTGACATAGCAACAGAAGTGTTTTCATTGATACCTATACCTTCTTCAATCTCCATTTCTATTTCAAAACTAAAACTAATGGTGTATGAGAAAAAACTTGCCTTGTTTCAAGGTCCTTATAAGGTTGGAAACATGGATTCTTCTTCTTTTTTCCTTGATTTATGGGTGATGGATCAGGAGAGTAGCTGGGGGGTTGGACTAAGAAATGTAGTATTGGTCCAACTTCAAATTGGTTACATCCATTATGCATTTGGAGGAATGAAATAGTCTGTCATGATGCTGTTAAGATGAAATATGGTGTTTCTCCAATTTCAAGACATATTTTTCATGGAGGTCTCAGTGATGGAAGTGGAAGTGAAAGTGAAGTGACGTGTGAGTTTCTATCTCTATTGAATCTCACTTCTAATGAATTAAAGTCCCACAGCTTTGTGTATCCGGTTGATTATGAGCATGCTTTCATTTATACAGAGAGCCTTGTGTCTGTTTAATTAATATATAGCTTTCCTTTATATTCCTCAAATTGCAGATTTTTACTTTGTCTCGACACCTTCCGTGGAAATGTATGTAGATCTGCGACAACTTTAAAGTTTAAACAGTTTGGTTGTATCTGGATATCCTTAGACCTTGATTCCCCTTTGATCCATTATTATTACATAAATTAATTCAATATTAGTGATGTCAAACTTCTTTAATTAATGTTCAAGTTTCATATAATATTTGCTGATACATACATACATACATACATACATACATACATACATATATATATATATAATTTGGTTTTGCTCTCTACTGGATTATATGCAAGGTTCTCCAAGGAAAGGAAAGTATAAGTAATTTTTTTAAAAATTCAATTATTTTAGTGAGAAAGGTTATGGCTATTTAAGCATATATAAGATTTTGAATTTGAACTCATATTAATGCCAAAAAAAAAGCTACTAGTTCAATGAAATAGAAAAATAAATCATTATTTTTGATAATTTTTTGGGATTAGAGTGTCTATTTAATTTCCTGCCTTATCTCTCTATCATCATCATAAATGGAGCTGAGAACATGCAATAAATTAAAATAATTTAAGGGCCCTTTTGTCATCTTATTTTATGGAAAAGATTACTTTTTTTTAAAGTCTATTTTGTAAGCCTTTATGATATTTATTTAAAATTTTGAAAATAAACATAATATGTGAAAAATATTTTTAATTATTTTAAAAAGCTATTTTGAGTAGTTTCTAAAGATAATTTAATATCATAAATGAGAGATAATGTTTTAAAAATGTGGGATGAGGAAAGATATTATAAAATTTTACCAACAAAACTTGATCCAATTGGCAAGAATTTGATCTATAATTCATAAGTTTATGAGATTAAATTTTGCTACCGATATAAGAATGGTGGGTTTGAACTGTGAGATTTAAAATTTTTATAAAACAGAAATCAATGAAGATATTATACAATTTAAAAATAACTAACTAACAATCACTTTTTTATTGTTGTAATAAAACATAAAATGATGTATACATTTTATAAATTCTATACAAAATAAATTTTTTCTATAAAATCTCTATAGATAAATGAATAAATTATTCTCTAAACTTTAAGTACAGTAATATCATAAGCCTTGAATTTATTTATTGTGTAAATTATTTTTTTAATTTTTAAAAATAGTGCAATCTTGCCCCTAGCATTAACAAATAATGTTAACTTTAATTATTAGTTGAGCAAAAAAAGACCTCAAAAATTATAAAAAATGATCAAAAAAATTAAAATAAAGGACCAACAATTACATCTAGGACCCAAAAATTACATAAAAGGATCAAAATATTTTTAGTCATTTTTTATAATTTTTAAAATATTTTTCTATCATTTTTTAATTAAATAATAATTAAAATTAATTTTTATTAATAACATGTGCCATACTACATCCTTTTAAAAATTGAGAGAACTCTAAGCAAATTCAAATTAAAGTTGCCTGGCACAGGGTGTCAGAAGAAAGGAAGCAATATGGAAACCGCCTCCATTCGGATGTATCAGAGTTGATGTGGATGTGGCGCAACTACAGTTGAGAAACAAGCTGCATGTAGTGGTGTGATGAGAAATTCTCATGGTAAACGGATTTTTGGATTCCAGCAAAACTATCATCTTGCTGAGCACTGCTGCTGAACCGTGGGCAATGAGAACAGGTCTAGGGGTTTGTCAAAGTTGGGTTACTCTAAAATTCAACTTTTTCATTAATTTACTGGATGCTTTAAATCTCCTTTTTAGGAGTAGAGAGACATCTCATCCTTCATAAATGAAAATTGCGGAAACTAGAGATCTTTCCTTCAGCAACCATTCTGTGGAGTCACATCATACTTACAGGACAAGCATAGGGTGTACTGATATAATGGCTAAAGGGGCCCATAGATCTCATCAAGGTGTTCTTTTGATATATGCCATTTCAGCAAATAATTTACTCATTTATTCAATAACTAACCTATCTAAAAACAACTTATTATTTTTTTAACATTAAACAAATGAGTATTTAAAATGAAATCAATAAGAGACAATACATAAGATTAAATGAATTTGATATCGCATATTTTTATTAAATTAAATAATATAAAAGTGACATAGACACGATGGTCTACATGGAAAAAGAATTTTTTTATTTGAAAATCTATGTATTCAATTAAAAAAAAAGGGCATAAAATGGCAAATTAGTGAAATGCCAATGGTCTTTCAGACTAAAAGGGTCAAAAAAAAAAAAAAACACACACACACACACACGAGAGAGAGAGAGAGAGAGAGAGAGAGAGAGAGAGAGAGAGAGAGAGAGAGAGAGAGAGAGGAATGCCAATCGTCTGATTTCCTAGGCCCTGTTTGGTATGAGGGTGTGAATTTAGTCGTCGTCCCATTTGTTTCCTCCATAAACTTCATTCCTTGGCTTCTGTTCCCAAATAGTAGGGGTTCTTGTCGAAGAAGACAATGAGTGCGACTTCTAAATCCGTGCTTCCCTTTGGCAAGCACATTGCAATTGGAGGCGACAAACCCTTTCTGCCCCCCGAAATCATCATCAACATTCTCAAAAGGCTTCATGTTAAATCCCTCGTTCGATTTCGATTTTGAGCATCGTTTGTTCCTGCAATGGCTTGCTATGTGCAAAACTCCATGATGATAGCGGATCTGCTCGTTCGCTCTTGCTCTGGAACCCTGCGATTGGAGATGTCAGGCAAGTACCCGAAACAGAAAATGATTTGGGCTATTACAGCATAGGATTTGGGTTCAGTCCTGCCATTAATGACTATAAGATAGTGAGACTTTATCATTCTGAGTTTCATGATAAGAATAGGGGTCCGGTTAATCGGTTACAAAACCTTGTTAATAGAGTGGAAGTGTATTCTTTAAGAACAGGGTCATGGAAGGAACTAGAATGTGGTCTTATACAAGGTGCAATAGTTGAACCCAAAGCTGTCACTGTTAATGGAAATTTGTTTTGGTTAGGGTCGGCGGATGAACATTCTCTTTTTACGGTAGTCTCATTTGATATAGCAATGGAAATGTTTACATTGATACCGATACCTTCTGGACCCGTCACTACAAATCTAACCGAGCTTTCTGTGTATCAGAACAAACTTGCTGTGTTTCATTGTCAATATAAGGTAGCCACACTTGTAAGCTCTAAATCATCTGTCATGAGTTTATGGGTCACGGAGGAGGGTACTGGTGCATCTGGGAAGAGTTGGAGTTGGTCAGAGCATTATAGTATTGGACCTATTTCATGTTTCTTAGTTCCTATTTGTATTTGGGGGAATGAACTACTCTGCCATAAAATGTTGAGTAAAAGTGAGGGGAAGGTTGAGGATGAACCAACTTTTCATATGTTAAATCTCACCACTAATGAATTGAAGGAGTTCCACATCTTCTCATCTGCACATGATTGTTGTGGTATTTTCAATTATGAAGCCAGCCTTGTTTCTGTTTGCAACAACTAGGTTGAATAGCCTAGCCCTGAAGTTCTCATTTTGGTGGAGATGATTACGTGGACCCAGAAAGCCTTGGAACATTCTGGTTGTATATATGATCCTTGTTGCCCGTTAGTTCTGTTATCTAGAATAGAGGAATTCAGTACTAGGTGTTTCTAACTTCTTAACTTTATATGTCATCAGATGTTCATTTTAATTTCATAGGTATATTTAATTGATGCTATATAAACTATTTGCGTTTTGTTGACCTTTCATTTTGTCGGCTTTTATGTTTACAGTTTCTTGTTTCAATCGTAATGTGCAGCACACAAAGCTACAAATACTTTTTTCTTCTAACAATTTTTTTTTTTGGTTGATTTAGAAGGTCACGGATCAACTGTGGGGGAGATAGAAATTAAATAATGTCAGAGTAAACTATCCCTACATCCCACACGTGGGTCATGAAAAATCCTAACATGAATTTATTCTTTTTCTAACTCTGATGCAGATGACAATGGATGATGATGATAAAATAGAAGTAATTAAAAATAAAATATAAACAAATTATACGAATACTCTTATAACTAGTTGGCGAGGACTAGTTCCCAACAAATGATATTTTCGATTATGCAGATAGCCTTGTATGGTTTTGTTTGTTTGCATCGCCCAAATTGAATAGCCTTCTGAAATGCTGATTTGTCCATTATAGATTTACTCTTGAGTGTTGGTGGTGATAAATTAATCTACGAAAGCATAGAAGATTTCAGTTGTGTCCATATATAATCCTTGATTGAGATATTCAATGCCAAATGTTTCGAACCTTATTTTAATTCTATTTTGTTATGAGCTTTGGCACATGCAACTTTCCTATTTTGACCATTCTTTCTGTTGTATTTCTTGTTTCAATGTCCATATGCAAAGCTGCAAACTTGAGAAATTCTTTTTCCTTGGAACATTATGACGCAGATGATAAAAAAGAAGTAATAAATAATAAAAAGTAAACTATAAATAAATGATTAAAATAATAAAAATTGTACTAATTCAATTAATTAACATAATAGAAAATCTTAATATTACTGCGTTTAATTTAATTCTTTTTTCTTTTGGAATAAGCATTTAATTTAATTATTGTTTACGATATATAGCTATATTTGCAATTTTTAAAAAATTCCCTACAAATTATACTCAAATCCCCGACTGATTTTTGTTTGAGATGAGCAAGACCCCCAACACACAAAGAGGAATAGACTATTTTATGAAGAGATTTTTTATTTTTTTTTTAATTTTTGTCTCCTCTTTCACGCGTATCAAATATGCATAATCCTCATAATTTCAATCTTCTTTTCCAAAAGCTTTTAAAATTTTTCCTCGTCCTTATAGATGTGCTAAAAATAATTATTCTCTCATCTTTTTATTATTTTTGTGTGTAGCTTTTTATTAATATTGTTCTTTTTTATTGTCACCAAACGTAATTTTTGCCCTTTTCCTTTGAGACTGACTATGTTCTCTTGACCGTTTCTCATAATTTTTCTCTTGACCTTTTCAAAGTTGCTTTTTTTTTTTTTCGTTTGCGAATCAAGCAATAAATTAGGGACGAATTGGATTTTTTTTTCATTAAAGAATATGTTTTCAAAAGCAAATATAACTTTTGGAAATCATATGACAAAGAGAAGTGAAATATTCCATACATAAAAAACTTGTCAAGGTTATGAAACCCTCACCCTTACATGCATTATTCTAAACATGATTTGATCTCGCACCTTTCACCTACACAGAAGGTAATTCTTTTGCCTCGTTCTTTCATTGTTTCATAAAGCACAACATGATAAGTGGGATGAAAAATATTCCACACATGAAAAACCTTTTCAAGGTTTTGAAACATTGATCTTTTCAATCTTCTTGATTCTCACCCTTCGTTGCTTTCTAAACATAATCTGACCTCTCTCCTTTCGTCTATATAACAGGTAATTCTTTTCAAACCTAGCAAAAAAACAAAATGCAAATGCTTTCTTATGAGAGATATCTTCTTTCCTCAAGTAAGGGAATGAAAACTAAAGAGTACGACATAGCCATTTTACCCCTAGATATCATCATAGAAATTCTCAAAAGGCTCCCTGTCAAATCCCTCCTTCGATTTCAATCTGTCTGCAAACTTTGGAACAATCTCATCAGGTCCCCACCTTTCATCTCTACCCACCTACACTACTCATCTCACAATAATCCTTTTCTTCTCTTTGGAGAAACTCGATGCAGATGCAATTATCCGCTCTTACTTTCACTTGATTCCAAGATGAAAATTGCCGAAGTTCACATGACAATCAGGACACCCTTGACCAACTGCTTAAGTCATGCTGTCAAACTTGTTGGTTCCTGCAATGGCTTGCTTTTTGTGGAAATAGAGTATGGTGATGATGATGATTATCTTTTTGTTCTCTTTTTCTGTGGAACCCAGCGACTAGAGAGGTCAGGCAAGTTCCTGAATCCAAAATATTTGTTCTGGCATTCCAAAATTTGGATTTGGGTTCAGTCCTGTCCTCAATGATTACAAGATAGTGAGAATTTATACAAGTAACATTATTTACGCTAGGAATCAACATAAAATCTGTGTGGACAAAAATTGTGTTCATTATGTGGAAGTGTATTCATTAAGCAAAGGGACATGGAAGGAAGTAGAATCTGAGAGTTTAAATAGGGTAAGGTATTTTGGAGATTTTCAAGCTGTCATTTCTAATGGAACTATGTTTTGGTTAGGGGCAGTGGATGAACATGATCTTCATATGATAGTTTCATTTGACATAGCAAGGGAACTATTTTCATTCATACCAATACCTTCTTCAATAACCCCTCATTCAGATTCAGATGTAAAGCTTCTTGTGTATGAGAACAAACTTGCTATGTTTTGTTGTCCTTACAAGATTGGAAGCGTTGATTCTCCTTTCCTTGATTTATGGGTGATGGAGGAAGGTAATTGGACTGAGAAACTTAGTATTGGTCCAACATCAGATTGGTTATATCCCTTGTGTATTTGGAGGAATGATATCGTCTGCACTAATATGACATACAGTAATGATTATCCAGTTCAAGGGTGGTTATGTGAAAGTGAGGATGAAGAATGGTATGGGACAGACTTTTTTCTATCCCTGTTCAATCTCACTACTAATGAATGGAAGTCCCACAAGTTCATTGATCGAGTTAATTATTATGAGGACATTTTTAATTATGCAGAGAGCCTAGTCTGTTTGCAGCATCCACAATGAATAGCAATTCCATGAAACGAATGTACCACAGATTTAACGTTTGATTGTGTGATCTGTAATCCTTCATGATGCCCCTTTTTGATCCACTATGTTATCAGATGTTAATCTGTTTTCATATATGAATACAATGCTGTGTAGTTGCTGCTGCTATATAAACAATTTGGGTTTTGTTGTCTATATATCAAAAGTGCATGACACACGGCAGAATTATATTGTGTAATTAAACCATGATGGGACAAAAGAAGCCACTTTAACAAAGTTTTTCTCCTTTTTTGCCCTGTGATTTTATAATGATGGTAGCTAGATCTCCATCTCCTTGTTCACATTTCTGTGAAACCAAATAATTAAGCCCTTAGATTTGGGTTTAGTCGTGCGGTTTAATTATTATAAGGTAGTAAAAATTTATATTAATTCTTGAGTATTATGATAAGATTGTGATCTGGCTAGTCAATCTGAACAAAATCTGTCATGTAGCTCATGGAATCAAGGATTTGATATAGATTTGTTTGACATAGCAATCAAAGTGTTTACATTATATCAATACATACTTTATTATTGCAAATGTGATGAAGTTTCCTTCTTAAAAACTTTTTAAGGATATATCAAACAACTTTTTTTCCCCTCTCACCACCTTTTCTCGATCAATGCATGTGACCAGTCTCTTTTTTAACTTATCGGAGTCTCAAAAAATTTCCCTCATTTTGAATGTTCTTTTCTTTCTCGTAAATTCGTAGCTTTTTAATGTTTTTATTTTCTTTCCCCATTTCATGTGTGGCAAAAGTAAATGTATTTCCTCATAATCTCCTTGGCCTTCGGCATGGAAAATGAACCATATACGGCAAAGATCAAGGTGAGGCAAAAATAATATGCATAAATAGTATGTATAAATAAAATAAATATATAAATATAACTAATGACAAAGATTTGTTCGGTTAATAAAGATTTGACTTTTAACTTATAATTGTGAGTTCAAAAACTCATTGTCAATATAAGAACCATATTAGTGGATGACATTGTAATTTCATTTATCAATATGTTAATACTAATATTAATTACTAATAAAAATTAAAAAATTAAAAAAAGTAATTAATACCATTCACAAGTAATTTTTAGCACATTTGGCTGAAAAAATAAAGTTTAAATGGTATAAGATCCCGTACAAATTAACATAAAAATTAAAATACTAATTTATCTTTTTGATATGTAACTAAAATATCACATGAAAAAGTTTGCCTACATCAGAATTCCCATCATTTACTCTTGGTTTGGAAGCCAAAAATAAAATAAAATTATAGAGGAAAGAAAACTATAAGAAAAAATTCCAAAAATGGCAAATTTTATTATTTTGGGCAGTTTACGCTCTTAATTTTCTCTCTCTCTCTATTTTCCTCACTTTTCCCTCCATCCACACGAAGTTAAAATTGAGGATTGTATCTTGTCAAAGATGAGCAACACTGACAATGCAAAGGTTTAGTATTATCTTTGAAATAATATTCTATGATGATAATTAAAAAAGGGTAAATATTTATTTGGACAAACCTCATATATTACAAATGGCTTTTCAGTTTTTTTTTTGGTCACCCTTTCATGCATATCAAATGAAATCTTAATTTGTCCTCTCATATATATATATATATATATAATATTCTCTTCCAGATTAATAATTTTGTATGTTCATATAGGGGCCAGGCTCCCTAACATTAACTACAAAATTTTCATTAAAAGCTATTTATAATTTAGGTTAAAGTATACATTTAGTTCTTTAATTATACACAATGTTTCATTTTAATCCTTTAATTTTAAAATGTCTTTTTAATTTTATAATCTTAATATTGTTATTTTTATTTTAACAAATTTTCATATTAAAATTTTAAATATTGATAAAATATTCTCAAATGTTGACACATTAAATTTAATTTTTTAAAATAACAATGATTGACACAAAACATAATAATTTGAATCTAACAATATTAAAATTGAATGACTAAAAAGATATTTTACAAAACTAAAGGATCAAGTTAAAACTTTATATAAAGTTAAAGGATTAAAAGCATATTTTAATCTATTATTTGTTGAAAAGCACAACAACAACATGACAACAAGATTTCATTTTATAAAAATCAAAACCGTTCAAGGTAAATGATACTATGTAATTTTTTTCTCTACCACCCTTTCACGCATATAAAATGTTATCCTTTTCTCTTGTTCTTTCACTCCCTTTCCCACCAATTCAATTCCATATCATGTATAGAAAACTTTACTTCAACTTTATTTCCACGGTTTACTTTGGCTAACGGCATCAAAACTCTTTTATTTAGACTATTCTATTTGTTGCCATTCACGTATCTTTCAAAACTGGTAAATGTTGTATATTCCTTTTAGGAGTTAACATTAAGTCAACAATTAATGTTGGCCGAGGACCTTTTTCCCGATCATTGATGGTTAAAAATGGTAAAATTGCATGGTTTTCTTTTCTTTTTCTTTTTTTTTTATAATTACACGTTATGTGCATTCTTCATAATTTTTTAAGATGTTCAGACTCATTCAAAAACCACTTCCAAGACAAAATTCACTTTAACCTATATATATATATATATATAAACACATGAATAAAAGACTTCAAATATAAAAATATCAAAATTTTCAAAAAAAAATAGTTTCCTTAAAAAAACCTTTTCAAGGATCTAAAAAACCTTCCCACTTTTTCTCTCACCTTGTCAAGCATTTCAAACATTTTCCCCCTTGATTACCTTTTCATGCATGTAATAAGTAATTCATTTTCCTCGTTCCTTTCACTCTTTCCCACCATATTTTCAAGCGCGCACGCACAACAAAAGTGGCCATGAAGTGCAAATGCTTCCTTATGAGAATTCTTCCCTCAAGCAAAAGGAATTACCGATTATATATGGAAGGTGACAAACCCTTTCTGCTCCACGAGGTGGTTATAGAAATTCTCAAAAGACTTCCTGTAAAATCTCTCATTCGATTTCAATTTGTGTGCAAAGTTGGAAAATTCTCATCAAAACCCCATCTTTCATCAAAAGCCACCTCCACCAATCTGCTCACAAAAACCCTTTTCTTCTCTTCCGTGGATCATTTTTCAGCCACGTTCCTGATGATGAACCATTATATTTGGTTGACTGCAAGACGGGAATGGTTGAAGTTCAGATCACACCTTTGATCGATCCCTTGAGATTTGGTTGGGACATTGTTGGTTCCTGCAATGGCTTGCTTTGTGTGGAAACAAGTTATCATTATGATGCAACTCAACCACTTTTGTTGTGGAACCCAGCAATTAGAGAGGTCATGCAAGTACCCGGAACGACCAATGTCTCTCTTCGGCATTGCAGGTTCGGATTTGGTTTCAGTCCTACCGTTAATGATTACAAAATAGTGAAAGTTCATTATGATCTCAATTCTATATTCGTGAATCGAATTGAAGTGTATTCTTTAAGGACAAGGTCATGGAAGGAACTTACGAAAGGGGTTTTGCAGAACATATATTTATGTGATGCTGTGGATTCTAATGGAACTATATTCTGGCTTGGTGGGGGGACAGATGTGATCATCCAATGGTAGTTTCATTTGACATAGTAATGGAAGAGTTTACGTTGATACCAGTTTGCACTACTTCATCCTCTGAAGGTTACAAGACTCTTACATTGTACAAGAACAAAATTGCTTTATTTCATTATAATTGCTGTGAGATTGAAAACTTTGCATCTGACCCTTTCATTGATTTATGGGTGCTGGAGGAGCATACTGGTGTATCTGGGAAGAGATGGAGTTGGACGAGAATATGTAATATTGGATTAACTTCAACTATGTCTATGTTATTTCCAAGATGTATATGGAGGAATGAAATAGTTTGCCAGCTTTCAAGTGATGATCAGTCCAACTCAGAGCAGTGGCTACGTCTGTTCAATTTCAACCTCGCTACTAATAAGTGGATCAAGTTGCCTTGCATTTTACACGGAAATGTATTTTATAATATTTATAATTTTACAGAAAGCCTTATATTTATTTGTAATAGAGACGGAGATATAGGGGCTCGTTAGGGATCATGGGTCTCTTCACTTTTTTCTCTCCATTTTCCTCCACTTCCCTCATCTCAACCACACATATTATTTTATTAAATGATTTTTTTTTTGAAATTATAGAATTAATCAATGGTTGAGATGGAAGAAGTGGAGGGAGGGAGATGGAGAGAAAGAAGTGGAGAGGTTTCTCTCCCGCTCGTTAGCTGGCCATAATACATTGGTTGGGTTGAGTAATTTAAAATGAGTGGCTCACGGCTCAAGCAGGCTGTCCTGTTTTAAGAAAATATATATCACAAATTTTCATGAAGATGTCATGAATGGCAATTGAGTTGGTCTTGATGTTTGGTGCATAAGTCAGTATATCGTTTTTAAGATTGTTGAACTCCCATGCTTAAATTCTTGAGCTTTCTATACAAATGACGAAGTTAAGTTTTTTTTTTTTTTCATAAATATACCCAGTTTCTTATTGACTAGCGATTATAATCTCATGTAGTGATGAACTATTTCCTTCATTAATGCCTACAAAATTATAACAAGCCCATTTTATATACATGATTCGAGTGCTTTGGAGCACAAGTTTAAATTCTCAGTCAAACCTATAATTGCTAAAGTATAGGATTTTTCTTTTTTACCGTTCTCCTGTATCTAATCTAGGGCGCATGTTAAAGATGCTTAAATTGAATCAAATAAGTCAGGGAAAATGATAATGGGACTATTGAAACATAAAGGAAGAACTATGATCATTACTTAAAATTAAAAAATATAATACTCCGACCAATAAAGTATTGGTAACTATTTCATGATTATAAACAGAGTTAGGTGAAATCTTAATCTATTAAAAAATTTACATCTTTCTTTTATATCTTAACCATTGAAATTATAATGCACTAGTTGTTCAAAAAGAGTAATGAAGAAAATACAAGTATAGTTAGAAAAATAATTATAAAATCTACTTAAAGCCATATATTTTATACCAAGTAGAGCTTTTAAAAGATACCATATGTTATTGTAACTTGGAGGGAGCACTATTATATGATGTAATGAAAAAAAAGGGTAAAATATTTTTTCGGACAAATTACCTCTCATATGATGCAAATGGCTTTTCAGTTTTTGAACTTTTTTTCCTTTCACCTTTTCATGCATATCAAATGTCATTTTAATTTTGTCTTTATATTTTTAATCTTCTCTTTCAGATCATTTTAATTTTTTTACCCTTTCATCCTTCCACCTCCATACCACCATATGCATGTATAATGGAATGTGTTTTTCACATTCGCCGTATCTTTACTTGTGGCTTTTATTAATTTGCCCCTCTCAGCTTTCATTTGGTCCAAGTATAATTTACCCTCTTCTCATCCTTTGAGCTCTCTTGCAAAGCTTAATAAATAATTAATATTTTTCTCTTACCCTTCCATGTAAAAAGTCTTTTCAAGGACAAGAAACAATTTTTAATTTTTTACTACGCTCACCCTTTCATGCACTTCAATCATAAGTTTATCTATCACATTTTTGAGCCTATAAAATGTGATTCTTTTCCTCTGTTCTTTCACACCATTTCAAGCGCACAACAAAAATAGGTCTCATCTTCCAACCTAAGGAAAAAAAAAAAAACTTACAAATGTATAGGCTTGATTTTTTTTTTTTTACAATTGCATAGGTTTGATTTTTATAAAATATATAACAGTTCACCATTTTCTAACTATCTACTAAATATTAAAATATGTCTCATCTTGCATACTACCAAATGATAGGTCTCATCTTTGTTTTTTTCCCTTTAAATTATCTAAGGGCAAATAGATCATTTTACTTTTAGAATTATTCACCCCTAAGAACCATGGGACTTCAAAATAATTTTTTTTATTCATGAGACCTAGCTGTATTTAGGTCTCTTCTATGAGACCTTGTTGTAATTTTCCCATTTTTTTTTAACCTAAGTAGTGTTTTACAAAGCCAAACCCTATATTTTTTTAGGCAAGCCTCTCATATTTGACTTGAATATCGGCTCATGTAGACATTAGTTATATTAAAAACAGTTAATTATCATTATCTAACCTAAAAGATATAGATAAATACTTCTCCTTTGATTTACAAGTGAAAAAAAACTCTATTTTGATTTTTCTTTAATAACTATAAAATCACATAAGATCGATGTAGGGGTGGGTCTAGGCATGAATTCTCTCCTCTTCCTTTCTTTTCTCTTTCTAGCCATTTAGATCAAAATTTAGAAGGTTCAGATTTGGTTTCCTAAAAATCATAATTAAAATATTAAATTATAAAAATAAAAATAATGAAATTTAAACTGCTAAAATTTAATAGGAACAATTAAAAATATAGTAAAATAAAATAAAATAAAACAAAACATTTCAAAAAGATCAAATCTAAATTATTTAAAATGTTGATCTAATGACTGGCAAGAAGAGAAGAAAAAGAGGATGAGAAGGAAAATGAGACAATCCTCCACCGTTGTGTATATATAAATTTTGGAATTACAAAATGTGACAGTTAAACTTCAAAGAACAGAATTGCGACAACTCAGCCCAAACAGGATAAATAGATAATAGAAGATATTTTTTATGATATGAAAATTTAAATTCTGAATAAAGCTTTTCTTATAATTAAACCTCAACCTTAATATCAGAAATTTGAGATCTCCTGTGGCCACTTAACCGCAGGAGATCATATATTTTATTAATTTTATTCATTGTGGCTTTCAACGACGTATGTAATTGTAAACCCTAACATGATTGCCAATTTCTTTCTTTTGAAACTCCTTCATTCCCAACGGCGAGCATGGTGATGACAGACAACATCGCCTCTGTTCCCCAAGATATCATCATTGACATTCTCAAAAGACTCCCTGTAAATCTCTGATCCGATTTCAATGCATATGCAAAGATTGGAAAAATCTCTTCAAGAGTCAGATTTTCATCAAAGAACACCTCCACTACTCTCGTACTCACCATCCAAACCCTCCTTTTATGCTTCAACGGAGACCAAACCAATGTCCTCTACGACTTGGCCAAAAGGGACATAACCGTCTCAAATCTCTATCACTTTGGTTTGCTGGATCATGATTTGCAATTGCAAATCCATGAAGTTCAAAAGGCACCTTTGCTTGATTCCTATCCGTATACTCGAATCCTTGATTCCAGCAATGGCTTGTTTTGTGTTGAAATCTATGGGTTTGATATATTCTCTCATAGTTTTTTTTATTGTGAAATCTAGTTATTAAAGAGGTCAAACAAGTGAACACAACTATTACAAATAATAATAATAATAATAATAATAATAATAACAACAACTTTCAGTAGCAACTCTAAAAAGTTGCTGGTAAATATGAACAATCTACTGCCACAAAAATAGTCACCGTTGAAAGGGTGACTTTCTATGGTGATAATATATAGTTATTATTGATTGTCAAACTTTTAGTGACATAAGCGTATGTTGTTGCCAAAAGTTTAAGTATGTTTGAAAGTTGACAATCAGCGGTAACTTTTTAGAGTCACCGCTGATTGTCAACATATTTGAAAATGTATTATAATTTCATAAAAACTAATGTTATAATAAATATGTTATAAGTTTCAGTGGTGACATACAAATCAGCAGCCACTTTATAGTGTTGCCACTGAAAGTGAGACTTTTAGAGGCAATTTTATAGTGTCATCGTTGAAAGTTTGATTTTGTATTTTTAACATTTTTTTATTTTTTTAATCTAATATTTAACTTTTTAAGACATTAATTTTATTGTATTATTGTAATTTTATAATGAATATATAAAATAATATAATAAATTTTCATTTAATATATTTTATGGTTAAATTGTAACTTTAAAATTATGAAATTATTTTAAGATAAGATTAAGGTACTATGTAATGCTAATAAGTCAAAGTGAAACATTAAGCCAAACCATATTATTTTACATCAATTTTTATTATCAAATAATGTTTGGTTTGATTCAATACAACCATTTAGGCTAGTTTAATTAATTAGTTTTGGTCAAATAACATCAAATCTAACTGAATTAACTAATGTATACGCCTATGTGAAGTGATAAATTCAATAAAAAATCTCATGTTTGATTTTTTAATTTGGAATGCATATAATATGGTAATGAGTCTCTATTTTTAAATGTTTTATATGATTAAATTGATATTTTAAACAATAACGCTACTTGTTTATAATAATTAGACATGTGATAGTTAAATGTATTCATTCATAGAATGACATTTCATCTAATATAATTTTTTTAATTTAAATTTTACATTTAATACTAGAAACTTTAGAACTTGATGTCGGTTTAGATGTTTACAGTTCAATGGCTAATGATAGGAAAGAGAAAGATGAACAGAAAAAAAATGAGATATTTTAAAATTTCACTTTTTAACTTTTACAATGTATGAAATATATCTATGTATGTGATGCTATATGATTTTTTTTTGTTTGATGCTATCTTGCAACATAAAATAAAAAAAATTAGATAATATAGTGTATAATTTTCTTATAAAATTATAACTTAAAAATGAAAAATAATTAAAAAAGTAAAGTGTAATGTAAAAACAACCTAATTACATTGCTTAAGAGTTATTGTTAATTAAAAGTGAAAATAAAATTTTAAATAAAACTAGCTAGAAAAATAAATAATTATGAACTAATGTATAATCATCTATATTTTTACTATTTATTCTTAGATATTTTTTATATTATAATTATACATATGAACATTAAAATAAATAATATAATAACCTCAAGAAATAAAAAACATACATAAATAATGCAAATAATATTGTATCAACTATATTTATAGTTTACTTTAGACAAAATAAATAATATAATTTGTAATTTGAATAAATCAAAATGAGGAGGTCATGAGTTCAAACCTTAAAGGATGCAATTTGTGAAATGAAAATATAAATTGGTGACATAATGACATGTGACGTGAGGTGGGCTGACACATGGTGTGAGGTGGGGGTGATATGTAGAGTGGTGACATGGTGACATGTGGAGGGGTGCCATGGCGACATGTGATAGGTAAAACCAACATTACTTTTTAGTTGCGCCAAAAAAGTCATCGCTGATTGATAGTTTCTGCAATGACAAATGTCGTTGCTGATACTTAACATTCAATTGCAATTAAATTGTCGCCGTTGATGTGTGGTTTTTGCGGCAACTTATGTCGCCGCTGATTCTCAACTTTCAACGGCAACTATCTTTTTAAGGTGATAAATTTTCTTTTCTGAGGTGATATTTGTCGTCGCCAATTCTTAACTTTTAGTGATGACTTTTATTGTCACTACAGATAAAATCAGCGACAAGAGCTTTCGCAATGACATTGTGGTGACTTTTTGTTGCCGCTGAAAACTTTTAACGATGACTTTTTAGCTGAAAGTCAATTTTTTTTATAGTGTAAACAGGAGGCCTCAACTATTTATCACCCTATTGGATTTGGATTTGGGTTTAGTCTGGTTCTTAATGATTACAAGATAGTGAAAATTTATAAGGGATAGCGTCTAGTGAATTGTGTGGAAGTATATTCATTGTGCTCAGGGTCATGGAAAGAAGTAGAGCTCGAAAATTTAGGGGGAATAACACTTGTTTCTGAGGCAGTTTGTGTCAATGGAGCTATTTATTGGCTTGGGGATAAGATGGACGTAGAAAATTATGTTGGTTAAGATTTTACGTTGATAGTTTCATCTGACATTGAAAAGGAAGTCTTTACATTAATATCAATACCTGTTTCAGAATTTAATGACAATTACCAACTTGCTTTTTTTGAGAACAAACTCGCTCTACTTTGTGATTGTATGACTACACAATACTGTCTTGAATTGCGGGTGCTGGAGGAGGGTACAAGTGCGTCTAGGGAGAAATGGAGTTGGACTAAGAAGTATACGGGCTGTCCTTATTCACGCAATTTATATCCAATGACTATTTGGAGGAATGAAATTGTCTTCAAACCTCGAATAATTGAATACCCATTTAGAGCAATAAGTAGTTTATATTTGTTCAATCTCACTATGAGCTTAGGAAGTTTCCTATCCCTAAATATTATGATCTTCACAGTATTTTCAATTATGTGGAAAGTCTTGTATCAGTTGAGAACCTTCATATTGAAGACGGTTTGTAAATCTTAAGCATTATGTTGCAAATGCTTTTCTTGATACCCTTTATAAACTTTTGTTGCTTTATTTGATCTATTTATGATATTATTGTAGGTTATTTAATTTTTTTTATACAGATGTGTGTGTATAATTTGAAATTGCTTGTGTAGGGATTATTATTTGGCACATTTCCATGTAATATACCAATGACGTAATTATATTCTGTGGGAGGTAAGAAAAGTATAAGTGAAGCTAATTGGTGTTCTTGTTTTCGTGTGAGAGGCAGATTTGAATAACATTTGTGCAGAGACAAGTTCACAATAGTTAGGTCTTTATTATATGGTGATATTCCAACTGCTCTAAATTAAGAAACCTTAACATATGAATGTATAAAGGATGAGATTACAATCGGTTAATTAACTTCTGGGCTGTACATGTGAGAAGAAATCTTTTGAAAAACAGATATTAAAATATGTTTAAATGATCTTCAACGTAAATATATTGAATTTAATTAATTAATTTCATCCGGGCTTGGAATATGATCAAACGAAATTCTTTGCAAGTATTCTGCTTTGTTTTAATTAGATTCCGCTAGATAAAAATCCATAGCACCTCCTTTTCTTCATACTAAAAATTCCAACACTATCCTTAGCTTATTATTATTGCTGTGTTATGCAATTTGTACGTAAATTATAGGTTTAAGGGTGATTTGAATCCTAAGCTCATATTTGATATATTTTATTTGTACTTTTGGTTTTATTTTATTTTTCCATTGGCGAGGACTACATACACATCTGGATTCCGGAGTAATATTTCATATTAAGATAAACTTTAGACTTAATTGATGATATATATATATATATATATATCAAAATAAATATGAAATTCATTGTACATGCATGCCAATTTAGTAAGTAATAATCGTGATATGTTCAAAAAAGTTTATTATAATTAATCAACCTGCTAAAAGATATAGATGTGTCGTTAAAACAAATAGATATAGATAAATCTCCTTTTAATTTACTAGTCAAACAAACGAAAATTCTCTTTTGATTTACCTTTTACTAAGAAGCACTAATAAGTAAATGAATGGGATATGGGATTTGAAATTATAAAAAAAATTACGATAAAACATAGATTTGGAGATTTGGATGAAATCCAAATTTGAATCCATAATTTTTTATAAATTTAAATTGAAATTCAAATCCCCTATATCTAAAGTTCTAAACCCCTTATATTTTACGTTTAAACAGAAAAATTACGATAACTGCCGGGCACATTTATTTTACACCGATGCATTTGTGTTAGCGTGTATATATAACTGAAATAGATAATAAAAAAAAAATAAGTTGATGGTAGTAAAAGTTTAAATTTTAAATAAATATTGTTCTATGGAACTAAAACTTTAACACTTATTTGACCTAATTTTAAGTAAATAATTTTTTAAACTTAATACATTCATCTGTTCTTAGATTTTGATTTTGATATAAAAGCTATACTTAAATAAATTACCTTGAGATTTTTAGATCTCCTGAGCGGAGAGAATAATTTTCCTTCTCTTTTTATTCAGGGGAGTGATGTCTCACCTATCTTTATTTTTCATTTCCCTCCTTTTTCTTCTCATCATAGTTAGATCAAAACTCTAACGGTTTTGATTAATTAACATTTGATAAATTATTATCCTAATTTTACATAAAAATATATAAAAAAATTTAAATTTTTAAAATTTGTTCCAAACAATTTAAAACTATAATATTCAATAATAATAGTAATAATTTTATCAACATTAAATTTGAACTATTAAAAGTTTTTAATCTAACAATTTAAATTTTTATAATTATTATATATTCACTATTCATATATACTTTGCACAGTTCAAATTAACCCTTAAATTAATATATAACAATTATAAAAATTTTAATATTGAACTGGACCTTTCAAATTACGTATAAATCATATTAAAAATAAAAAATTTATTAAAATTATTTTATAAATTTTATAAATTTTTATTTTAATAAATATAAAATAAAAATATACAATTATATTTTAAATTTGGAGATGAGCACCGTCAAGGAAACCGGGTCCGCTATCGGTCCCCAGCCTCCAACTCCTAAATGCTTTCTTCCACAGCGATTCTTTGTCTAATGGCGACGAGCAAAGTGAAGAAGCAGCCGGTAATTATGGAAGAACACAAAATGTATCTTCCCCAAGAACTCACCATTAGCATTCTCAAAAGGCTTCCTGTGAAATCTCTTCTCCGATTCCAATGTGTTTGCAAATTCTGGAAGGATCTCATCAAGATGAGTTTCTTCACCCAAAGAACCTTCCCCAACTCAACTCACCATCAAGGCCCTTTTCTTCTCCTCCACTGGGAATATTTCCCCTTCGATCACATGCAGTTTGATTTGCTGCATTCCGACAAGAAAACCCTTCAGCCTCTACACGCACCTTCCATAACCGATCTCTTCACATCACAGGTTCGCGTCATTGGTTCCAGCAATGGCGTGCTCTGTCTTCAGCTATAAAACGAGAGAACGTAGCCACATTCCCTTTTACTCTGGAATCCAGCCATCAGAGAGGTCAAACACTTGCCCAAAACTATCAGTAACTTTCAGGATCAGTGCCATGTAGGGTTTGGGTATAGCGCAATGGTTAATGATTACAAGAAAGTGAGAATTTATTGTGACAGTTTTTTGGATTGAATGAGTCATGTCGATGTGTATCCATTATCCACAGGGTCATGGAAGGAATTAGAATTTTAAGCAAAAGGCTGTAGGTATGATTAGTAGACCTAAAACAAGTATCATTACTTATGTATTGGTTTGGCTACGACGACATTTATGGGTTTAGTTTCATAGTTTCATTTTTACATTATTTATTCCATGGCCTGTTTCAGGCTATTATGTAAAGCTAATTGCGTATGAGAACAAACCTGTTTTGCTTTCTGAGACTGAATTGTGTATGATGGAGAGGATGCTACAGGTGGATTTGGGGATCGGAGAGATGGAATTGTACTAAGAAGATTATAATTAGCAGCGCTAGTCCTAGCATATCTCTTGCAACTATTTGGAGGAATGAAGCTGTCTTTAAACATGAAATGCCACGGCATGATAAAGCAAAAATTACTGTATATCTATTTAACCTCACTACCAATGAACTCTTGGAGATTCTTTTTGCTCGCAAATATGGCTATGTTTGGGGTTTTTTTAATTATGGGAAAAGCCTTGTATCCATTGGTGATGACAGAGTACATGACCGTTAAGTCTTAAGTATATTATATATATAATTTATTTGTTTAATTTTTCTTCATTTAATCTGTCAAGTAGTTGGATCAGTATTTTTTTTTTCTTGCTTCTGATGGATATATAATGTAAGTTGCTGCATGTGTATGGACTATTTAACTTGATTGCGATGAATTCTGAAATTCCTCTTCAAATATGATTAGCACAGTGAAGATAGCCAGGAAAAGGCGATGAAGCATTTCTTCCCAAAATATCTTCATTAACATTCAAGAGATGAAGAGACTCCCGGTTAATGATCCAATTTCAATGTGTATAAAATAAATATTTTCTTGTTAAACTAAATTTTAAGTACTTATTTGGAATTAATTACTGACCCATCTATGATGTCATATTCCTCAAATTTCATTTTATTTCTCTAGTTTGCGAGTGCAGTTTTGAAGATTCACGATATTCGTTCTGTATATAATATGATGCCATTAAATCATCCTCTGAAGTCCATTTGTCATATTATATGTGGCATGATTATTGAATAAATGAAATGCTTCTTAAAAAAAAAAGAGTAAAAAAACTAAAGATCAAGGAAAATGGATTAAAATTGATTTAGAAGTGAAGTACAATGACATGAGTTTTGACAATATGTAATGCTAGATATACATTGAAAACCCCAGTTTAACCACAGATGGAAGTCTAGCCATGACGAGACCAAGTTTAGTGAGTAGAGATTGAATAAACAAATTAAACTTCAGAGGCACTACAAGCAAGCTAAGGCTGTGAAAATTAGCTTTAGTGGATGAAGTTCGCTTATCATTAGGATATGGCTCAATCAACATTAGAAAATGAGGTACCGCAAAGATAGCACAATATCTTTTTACGGCTTTTCAGTGTGTTTTCACCCTTCAAACGTTTCCTTTTTTCTTTAAGGTTTTGTTCTATGTGATAAGGAGATAGAAGGGAGGAAATCTAAAGAATTTTTCATTTGACAAAACCGATACACAAGTTTATCAATAATCAAAGTTTATATGTGCCCATATTATTGAAGGCAGTGGACGGATTGAAAGGTTTAAAATCAAAATTTGAAAATGAGAAGAGGATGGGAGGATAGATTATAGTGTCCTGAAATTTCAAATAATAAGTATGATGTTTAAGGGATTTGAAATAATAAAGGAATTATGGTAAATTTTATGGATCTAAATCTAAATTCAAATTCCCTCCATCTAAACAGAACATTAAAATATTTACATTCTAACTATAAAATTGCAATAACTAATTAATTAACCTTTAGAGCATAGATTGTGAGTTACTCCTACATCTGTTTTCCAGATTTATTGATGGAGTGCTTCTATAATTCCTCCTCAGTTACTTGTGTTTGATCATCTTCATAAACATTGCAACAAGATGCTTAATTAAACGTTAATCTATCAGGTAAACCATCCTTCTGCTAAGTAAAAAGCCAAGAAATATTGCTTGTATAATATTTTTTTTAAGGGGTTTCCAATGCTTATGTCAATATTTCTTATGTGTTTACTTTTTTTACTTTAAATATTACTAATTTTAATATAATATTTTTTAATTTTTTAAAGAAATTTCCATGCTAAATCATTTTAAGATCATGAAATTGGAAAGAGAATATACAACTAATTATTAATTAATTTTACACAAGCAACTTAATAAGTTTGAAAATCTTAACATAATTTTAAATGATAAAACTAAAGGTTATATGTTTTGAAAATTGAAGGAAGATTTTTGTAATTTGTAACAAAATTAAATTAAATTAAACTATTAAATGGTGTAATGCCATTCTTAAATAAAAAAAAAATGGCTGATGTTACTTAAATTCTAACTAAAATTAAGTTTGACCGAAAATATTGTTTAAATTAAGTTTAGATTTCTCACAATATAATTAAATATTACAAGATATATTGAGAACTTAACATAACAAAATTACAACACTATGAATATTTATACTGCTTTCATTCCATTTTATAAGATATTTTTTTATAAATAATGCAATGTTCAAAAATACAAAACTGTTTTTAAAGGTTAATTATTATTTTACTCCTTAAATAATTTTTTTTATTTTTTTATAAATGAAGGATATTTTTAAAATATTATATAAAAATTAAAATTATAAATTTTATTAGTAAGTATAACTTTATAAAAAAAATCTTATAAACTAAAATGAAGATAATATTATTTAATTTTATTATGTAAATCAACCGACATGGTTCTCCGCGATCTCAAAATTCCATTCCATATTGTCCGTCCGCCACATCATGTCGTGGCCGTTCATCATTCTTCCAAATTTAATAGCGAAAGCACTTGTATCGTCATTTTGCTGTTACCGAGGCGCATCAGCCAGAGTTTTTTTTTTTTTTTTTAATAAAGTCGAATCTATCTGTATATATTGATCCAAACTTAAAGATAGACGAGTGTACTGTAAGTAATTTTTTTTCAGTCGCTGTTTCATTTTCCGTTTGTCTCCAGCTTCTCTCTTTCCCGCTTCATGTCGATGTATTTGCGTGAAATACGAAGCTGAAGCACGGAGCAAAGGTGGTTTTTCTGTTGACTTGCACTTCATTTTTTTGATTTCTTCTCACAATTTCTTTCGTAATTTCTGTCAATTTGCTTGCCTTGTATGGTGTATTTTCTGTCAATTTTGGCACATGTCCTCTTTGTTTTTCGTTTTGGAACTTGGGTGCTGGTTCGGTTCTTTTACTCTGTACTTCTGCTTTGGTTCTTGTCAAATTTGCACGATGACGAGGTCCAAAATATGCTGATTCTTCAATTTGATATGTTTTATTTTGGTTATTCTCTTGATAGTTTTGCTGCATAAACTTTGCCAATGAGTTCTTTAATGAAAAGGACGGACTAACAATGCAGACTGTGTAGATATGTGTGCGATGCAGGATGAAATGGCGTGCCTTGGTCAGGATAGCTTAACCCATTAAAGGTTATTCCCTTTTAAATCATCGTGTTTTTCTCTAGCCTTTCTCCATTGATACTTCCCCAATGGAGAAAAATGCAAAGTCCCTGACAATGGAAGGCTGTACAGCCTTTCTTCCGGATGATGATATCATGGTTAACATTCTCAAAAGACTTCCAGTGGAATCCATAATCCGTTTTCAATGTGTATGTAGACATTGGAAAAATCTTTTCAAGATGCCGTCTTTTATAGCAGACCATTTCCACCACTCCAGTCATCAGAAACCTTTACTTCTCATCCGATGGCATTTTCAAAGATACAACGATTTCTCTTTGTTGATGCTGGATCTTGACATGCAAGAACTTATGGTGCATGAAACCCAATTTCAGAATGGACCTTTGATCGATTCCTTCTGGCGGGCTCACATTGTTGGGTCCAGCAATGGCTTACTCTGTCTCAAGGCTTCAAATTTCATTTTATTTTGGAAGCCAGCAACTAGAGAGATTAGCCAGGTGCCCGCACCTATTAATAACTTCAAAGGTATACACTATCTAGGATTTGGGTTCAGTTCAGTTGTTAATGACTACAAGGTTGTGATAATTTATGTGATTAAGGAGGATGAGGTATACTGAGTGAATCGAGTGCAAGTGCATTCATTATGCACAAAATCGTGGAAGGAAGTAGAATTTGGAGACTTGAAAGGTTTATGTATTAGTTCTCGAAGTGTTACTGTTGATGGAGCTATGTTTTGGTTTGGGTTCAATGGAGATGAAAATGAATTTGAACTTGATGGTTATGATTGGATACTTTCATTTGACATGGCAAATGAGGTGTTTTAGGTTGATGCCAGTGCCTGATGCAATGGATATGAATTATGGTGAAATAAAAAGGCTTACTGTGTATGACAATAATCTTGCCATGCTTTGTAGCAAATGGATTCGAGAAAATGAAGATGAGTTGTGGGTAATGGAGGAGGCTACAGGCACGTCAGGGGAGAGATGGAGCTGGACTCACACATACAGCAGCCCCTTTAGAGGCTTAGTAAGATTAGATCCAGTGGCAATTTGGAGGAATGAAATTGTCTGCGAAGCTAGATGAAAATTTGTTGATGAGGATAATGAAACAGAAATTATTCTGTGTCTGTCAAATGTCACTACTAGTGAACTTGGGTGGTTTCAAATGATTAAATATAGCTGAGACTGTGCTTATTTTAATCATGTGGAAAGCCTTGTATCAATTGGCAATATTCATGTTGAAGATATTTGACCCTAAATTTTAGTTATTTGGTAGTAAATTTTATTTTGTGTAAGGGCCCGTTTGGTTTTCTTCTATTTCATATTCAAAAAGCAAAATTTTACTTTCATAAAATTGAAAGTTATTTGGATAAAATGTTTTGTAGGAAAGTACATTCAAACAGTAGCTGAAAGTATATTTTTGAAATGTAACTATTTAAAATTTTTGAAAAGTAAATTTAAAAAGTAAGATGTTATTTGACCATACTAACTCAAGTTTAATCTCTTATTCTTTTATTTAAAAATAGTAAATTCATTAAAAATAAAATTATTATTTTTTCAATAATAATAATTAGGTATCAATTTTTTAGCATTATAAATTAAATAATTAATCATGTTAATTTTTAGCATTAATATATAATAAAATTACAAATCTTTATTACATTTTTTAAAATTACAAATGAAGAAAATAAAAATAACTAGAGATAAAATTTTTAGCACTATATATCAAAATTTATGTTATTTAAAATCTTTATTAAATTTTTTAAATATTTTAAATATATTATATTTGTATAATAAAAATTTCAAATCATCATAAATCAATGTTCTTTTTAGTAATTGTATATTTAAAAGTACATTTCACTGTCACAAATCAAACAATTTTCAGTATATTAAACTGACTTTTGAAAAAATATATTTAAACATAAATTTTGTTATAACAATTGACTTTCGCTAAACTAACTTTATCAAATGAACTTTTAATAAATTAAAAACCAAACACACACTAAGCACTTTTGGTACAAATGAATCCAAGATAGTTTTGATTATGTAGCTAGGTCAATACTAAGTTTGGTGGTATAGTAAAGCTGACATTGTTAACTGTAAAGGGATGCTATTGGCACAAGATTGTGTTAATAGTTAGACATACATATTCGTCCATTCACTGATAGTATTAGAGAAAATAAGAGTACTGTTTTTCTTTACATCTATCTTCCATGTTTATTAATATAGTACTCCTATAATTCCTCCTCGGTTGCGTTTGATTATATTTTTGAAACATGATGCTTAATTAAATGTACATCTATCAGGTAAAACATCCTCCTGCCAAGTAGAGAGAGAGAGAGAGAGAGAGTAAAATATAGTGATATTCCTTCCATTTTGTTAAAATTACAAATACCTTTTCTTTATTTTAAAATCTATACTGTAATCCAATCTTTAAAACCATTGGAAATATTATGTTTAAGATTCTAAAATACTTAATTTTTTTATTTGTAATTATGTCAAAAAATTATAATTATTAATTTATCCTTATGATCTAATTGCCTACCCTCTCCCAATTTAAAAAACTTTAAATAATTAATAATGTTAATATTTAAATAAATAATGGCTTAATTATACATTTAGTCCTTTGATTTTTCATGACGTTTTATTTTAAATCCATTAACTTTATAAAGTATCATTTTAGTCTAATTTTATCCCAACAAATTTTTTCACTAAACTTTTAAATATTGATAAAATATTCTTAAATATTGACATATTAAGTTTACTTTTCTAAAATAACAATAGTTGATATAATAATCATTTAAAATTAATTATATTATGGTTAAAGGACTAAAAAAATTTATAAAATTAAATAACCAAATTGAAATATTATATAAAGTTAAATGACTAAAAAGTCTACTTTAGCCATAAATAATTTAAAAACATTGTGTTAAAATTCATGAAATTAAAAAAGAAAAAATTAATCTTTAGTTCTTCAACTTTTAACTCACTTGTAACTCAATTCCTCAATTATGACTCGCTGTGACTCAGTCCCTTAACTATAACTCGTTACAACTCAATCCCTCAACTTTTGATTTACCTAACTTGGTTCTTATTTTTAATTTTTTTTAAAATTTTTTTATCAAATAAGAGGAATAAAAAATGCTCATATATTATTTTAAAATATCTCTTCTTATTCATTAATGTGAGATATAAGCTAACATGAAAAAAAAATTAACAAAAGTTAAGGGACTAATTTGTAAGTGATTCAAAAGTTGAGGGACTGAGTCATAGGCGAGTTATAGTTGAGGGACTGAGTCACAACGAGTATAGTTGAAGGACTGAATTACAAGTGACTTAAAAGTTGGAGGATTAAAAGATTATTTTTTCATTAAAAAATAAACATAATTTATATTGAGTAATTTATTATATTAAATTCTTATTTCAAAATTTTTAATGAAAATATAGTTAATTTTTTGAAATATATGCTTAAATATTATTTTAAACGAATTTACATATTTAAAAAATTACTCAATAAATGCATTAACATAATAAAAAATTTAAAATTTAAATGAAAAATAAAAAAATATATGTGCTTGAATTTTTTTGTGAATGATTTTTATACAATATATATTTAAAGAGGGCTGTTTTGGTCAACTATATGTGACTTAACAGTCAACTATTGATCAAGAGATGGAAATAAAATATTAAAAATAGAGGGAAACATTTACATTTCATAACTATTCATAGTAGGAGAGATTCATATAGGTTTAAAAAATAAAAGAGGTAATATAATGAAGGCAAAATAGAAGGGGTTTTAAAGTATTTATTTAAAATTTCAAACTCCACAAAACCTTTTAAGGGTGTATTTGGCTTTCAGTTAGGTAAAATAAATTTTCAAAAAATTAATTAATATGATTGATTTTGATTATGATTGATTATGATATAAAGTGATTATGTTTGGAAGTTATTTCTAATATTAATTTGATAAAATTAAAGATATTTGAATGGCTTATCAAAATTCATTTTAAATGTGCAAATTACCATATAGGACATTACTTTTTAAATCTAAATATTAATACAACTGTATATAATATTATTAAATTTTTTATTTTATTTAATAAATAAAATATGTATACTAATGATCCATTTAACATTTATATAATTATTTAACATATATATCCTGATTATATATTAAAATTTAAATTATATTATATTTAATATTAATAATCACAATCTGTGGTGTTTCAATTTCAAGATACCATATTTTTACTCGTCCATGCATATACTTATCTTGCTGGTCAAGAGCTTGGAAAGATTTGTTTAAACAGTGTCTTCGACAACATGAAATGTGGCATCTTTCACTGGAGAATAAAGGGTGTCTTTGATGGATTTAACCCCCCATGAATGTCATATCATGTTTTTTTCAGAGTAATCGAGAGTTCGAGCTATATACTTTTATCAAGCATAATCAACTTTTCACCATCAAAGTTGACACTGATCTCACTAATTGTTTCTGTCACCAATATTAAAAAGCAAAGATTTATTGCTTGTATAATTTATTTTTTAGGGATTTCAATGCTTATGTCAATATTTCTTATGTATTTACTTCGTTTATATATTGGTAAAGGAAGCATTGCAAATTGAATATTTACTTTAAATATTATTAATTGTAATATAATCGTAATGTTTAAAAATATTTATTAAATATTTCCATGATAAATTATTTAAAATTCTTGAATTTGGAAAGAGAATAGACAATATAAATTTACAAACGTTAATAATATTGAAAATTTTAGCATAATAAAATTAAAGATTATAGGTTTTTTAAAATTGATGAAACACTTTTGTAATTGGAACAAAATTAAACTATTCAGCGGTGTAATATCACTCTTAAATTTCAACAAATGGTGCGGCGTTATTCAAATTCTGTCCGAACTTAAGTATAATCATTAGAAAATTTTATTTGACCGAAGATATTGTTTTAATCAAAAGTTCGTCTATTTCATCTAATTTTATTAAAAAAATTATTTTAAGAGTTTTTATGATATTCATCTAATTTTTTTAAATAATTAGAATCCCAAAATGTATGTTTCTGATTATTTAGCTACTTTGAATAGTTTTTTATGCGATAAATATGAGAGAATATGTTAAAAATGTAGATACTCAAAATTATAATAAAATTGTCAAAAAGTAACTAATAACCAAAAATAAAATTATAATAAAATCTCAACAAAATAATTTTTATAGAATATCTAAATTATCTAAAAATCACTCATTTTTTAGTCTCAAATAAACTGTCCAAAATTTAGGACTATCACGAGACATATTGAAAATTTACAATAGCAAAATCACAGCACTAAATAAAGATGAAGGGAGTTAATGTATTTTGGCAACATTTTTGTATATTTTATCCTTATTCTTTATTGATCTATCATGGATCTCAACCCCCGTAGTTCTGTCGTGCTACTCATTCATAAATCGTAACATGTACATTGAAATTCCATCGTGTCCGTCCGCGAAATCAAATCGTGGCCGATCATCATTCTTCCAAATTTAAGATCGAAAGCACTTGTATCGTCATTTTACAGTAACCGTAGCGCACCAGCCAGAGTTTTCTCTCCAGTATAAATGCGAATCTATATTATTAATCCAAATTCAAAGAACAACAACAACAACAACAACAACAAGCCTTTATCCCACTAGGTGGGGTCGGCTACATGGATTGCAAGACGCCATTGTGCTCTATCATTTATTAAGCTTTTAGAAATATTATTAATTAAGAGATCACGTTCAACAACTTCCAAGAGTGTTCTCTTAGGCCTTCCGCTACCTTTCTTAATCGGACTCAAAGTTATATGTTCCACTCTTCTCACTGGTGCCTCCCTTGGTCTTCTTTGTACATGCCCAAACCATCTCAACCGATTTTCTACCATTTTTTCCTCAATAGGTGCCACCCTCACTTTTTCACGTATGTGCTCATTTCGAATTTTATCTTTACGTGTATGTCCGCACATCCATCGTAACATTCTCATCTCTGCTACTCCAACTGAGATGAGAATGTTACGATGGATGTGCGGACATACACGTAAAGATAAATAATTTTTTTTTCAGTCATCGTTTCATTTTTCGTTTGTCTCCGTCTCCTCTACTTGCCGCTTCACGTCGATGTATTTGTGTGAAATACGAAACTGAAGCACGGAACAAAGGTGGATTTTCTGTTGATTTTTGCTTGATTTCGTTGATTTCTTCTCACAATTTCTTTCCTTTTTTCTGTCAATTTGCTTTCCTTGTACTGTGTATTTTCTGTCAATTTTCGCATTTTTTCCTCTTTTCTTTGTTTTTCATTTTGAAAGTTGCTGCTGGTTAGGTTCTTTAACTATGTACTTTTGCTTTGATTCTTGTCAAATTTGCATAATGATGGCTGGTTCATCTCTTTTGATTTGTTTTAGATTGGTTCTCTTGATAGTTTTGCTGCATAACTTTGCCAGTGAGTTCTTCTATGAAAAGGACGGACTAACAATGCAGACTGTGTGTGTGTGTGTTTGATGCAGGACGAAAATGGTGTGGCTTGGTAAGGATAGCTTAACCTAGTAATGTTTATTCCTGTTAAGACATCGTGTTTTTCGAGCTCCCCTGTAAACTCGAACCTTTCTCCATTGATACTTTCCCCAATGGAGAAAACTGTAAAGCCCCTGACAATGGAGGGCTGCACAGCGTTTCTTCCCGAATGATATCATGGTTAACATTCTCAAAGACTTCCAGTGAAATCCATAATCCGTTTTCAATGTGTATCCAAATGCTGGAAAAATCTTTTGAAGATGCCGTATTTTATAGCCGACCATCTCCACCACTCCAGTCATCACAAACCTTCACTTCTCATCCAGTGGCATTGTCTAATGATCAACTCTGATTTCTGCTTGGTTAAATTGGATCGTTATATGCAAGAACTTATAGTGTATGAAAGCGAAGTTCAGAATGCACCTTTGATCGATTCCTTCATGCCGGTTCACATAGTTGGGTCCAGCAATGGCTTGCTCTGTCTTGAATTTTCAAATTCCATTTTATTTTGGAATCCAGCAACTACAGAGACTAGACTGGTGCTGACACCTGTTAATGATTTTAAAGGTACGCCCTACATAGGATTTGGATTCAGTCCCAGTTGCTAATGATTACAAGGTTGTGATAATTTATGTGATTCAGGAGGATGATGTTTACCGAGTGAATCGCGTGCAAGTGTACTCAGTATCCACAAAGTCGTGGAAGAAAGTAGAATTTGGAAACTTGGAGGGTTTATGTGTTAGTTCTGAAAGTGTTGCTGCCAATGGAGCTGTGTTTTGGTATGGGTTCAATGGGGACGAAGATGAATTTGAACTTGATTGTTATCGTTTGATAGTTTCATTTGACATAGCAAATGAGGTGTTTACATTGATGCCAGTGCCTGATTTAGATTATGGTGAACCACAGAAGCTTACTGTGTATGAGAATAACCTTGCTATGCTTTGTAACATACGGCCTGAAGAAAGTGAAGATTATGAATATGATTGCATTGATTTGTGGGTGATGGAAGAGGCTACAAGCAAAACAGGGGAAAGATGGAGCTGGGCAAACAAATACACTAGCAGCCCCTTTAGAGGCTTGATAAGATTAGAACCAATGGCAATTTGGAGGAATGAAATTGTCTGCGAAGCTAGATTGAAGTTTAACAACAAGAATGACGAAACAAAAGTTGATCTGTGTCTGTTAAACGTCACTACTAGTGAGCTTGAGTGGTTTGATATCAATAAATATAGTACTTTCTATAGAATGCTTAATCACGTGGAAAGTCTTGTATCAATTGGCAATGTCTTAGTTCAAGATCCTTGACCCTAAATTTCAGTTATTTTGTGTAAGCACTTTTGGTGGAAATGAATTCATATAATCAAGAGCAGGTTTGGTGGAACAGTAAAGCTTTACTTGAAATTAGCTATTTAACTTGTGAAATTTAGCTGACACTATATTATGCAATCATAAAATTATATGCTTCGAAAACCTCTTGAACAAGTCTTCTCATTACCCAAGGGTCCAGAGTATTTTACTTTGACGCTTATTTACCCATTGGGTGTCCTTTTACTGATATTAGACATAATGAGCGAGAGTTTTTTTTTTTTTTTTTTTCCCCTTGGGGTGAATTAATGAGAGAGTATTTTGCTTTGTATTCTTCTTCTTATCAAACAAAACTTCAGGACTTATGTCGCAGTTCAGGACACAATAGTACAGACATTGATATCCTCTGTTGACTTTCCAACTTTTGAAGGGTCAAGTATATGTGGGGTTATGCATTGAAATATAGCGTATTTAATATACTTCAATTGGTTTATCTCTTAGATGCATTTATGTGGATTATATGGGGAAAATATATATATATATATATATATATATATGCGCCCTGGCCATGTTATCATATGGGATCTCCGTATTAATAAGTTGTGAAGGGGTGAAAAACAAAGAAAGAAAGAAAGAAATGAATGAATGTTCATATTAGTCGATGACCTATGTTGAGGAATAAATGTTCTGATAATTGGATTAGTCATTCAACAGATTGCACTACTCACGGCATTGGTTATTAGCTATATATTACTCTTTACCTTAAATTGGATTTTTTTTTTGTCACCGAAGACTTAATTCTACAATGTGATATTAGGTGAAGAGTTTTATTTAACATATCTACTTGATATTTGTTTCCTTATCATGTTAATAGTTAACAGATATTTCCCCCAGCCATTCACTACACTTTATAATTTGTTCATTTTGGTTACAGATTTCATCTGTTATATTAACAGCAGATGTTAGGCATATAATTTTGTTATTTCCCTCTCATTATTTATTTATTTATTTTCATATCAATCAAGCGCGTTATTCATCAATCCATCATTCTTTTCATATTTGCTTTAACATTGAGTAGATCAGGTGCTCCTCTCCAGCAAACTTTATTGATAAATTTTGATTCAAGTGGATTCCGGAAAATTTTGTACATGTTTTTGGATGCAAAATAGGAAAGCCCTCAAGAGGACCAACAAGGCCCATATAGAGAAAGTTCCTACAATCTCGAGAAAGTCCTATAATATTATATAATTTGTTCAAGAGAAAGCTTCCCAATCCTCTATCAATCGATATATGATATCTTGCACTTCTGTTGTGATATTTTAATTCATTAGTTTGTCATAAAAAAATAATATTTTAATACCTTATTTTGATTTTTTTTTTCAAAACTCAAAAATCCCGTCAATCTCAATCATATTACTGTAATTGCTAGTGAATAACTGACTTTGATCAATCAATCTTAAAAAACTCCAATCAAAATAATCAAATCGAATGAAATTTAAATTTCAAATATAAAGATTATATTCTACATAATATTTAAATGATAACGATGTTAATGTTAAAAATTTTAATTTGATGTATAATTTTAATTGATAAGATATAGATAAATATATCTCGTTTTGATTTACAAGTAAACAAAATATTTTTATTTATATTTAATTAATATTAATAATTAATAATTATTATAAAATCACATAAGATCGATGTAGGGGTGAGTGTGTGTGTGTGTGATATATGTTGGAGATATCAAAAGTTAAATTCTGAATAATGCTTCTCTCCTAATTAAACCTTGACCTTGATATCGAAATTTGAGATTCCCTGTAGCCAAAAACCACGAGAACAGACATTTTATTAATTTTTATTCATTGTGTCTTTCGATCGACTACGTATGTGAACCCTAACATTGATCGATTGCCAGGCCAAGTTGCTTTCTATTGGAACTCCTTGATTCCCAATGTCGAGCATGGCGGTGAAAGACAACATAGTCATTCTTCATCAAGTTATCATCGTTGACATTCTCTCATCCGATTTCAATGTGTATGCAAAGATTGGAAAAATCTCCTCAAGACTCGGGTTTTTATCAAAGTACACCTCCACCACTTCACTCACCATTCAATCCCTCCTCTTGTGCTTCAAAGGGGACCAAACCAATGTCCTCCACATCTCTCCAATGATCTCGATCACTTTCGTTTGCTGGATCATGATTTGCAATTGCAAACCCTTCAAGTTCATCAAATGGAACCTTTGCTTGATTCCTATCTGTGTGCTCCAATCCTTGCTTCCAGCAATGGCTTGTTTTGTGTTGAAATCAAAGGGTATTATAAATTCCCTCGCTGCTTTTAATTGTGGAATGAAGCTATTAAAGAGGTCAAACAGGTGAACACAATCAAACTAGTGGACACAAATGATCATTATTACTGTATAGGATTTGGGTTCAGTTCATTACTCAATGATTACAAGATAGTGATAATTTATGTGGAATATGATGTTGATCAATCGCGCGCAAGTATATTCATTACGCTCAGGGTCATGAAAAGAAATAGAGTTTGGAAATTTTGAGGGGATAATGCACAGTTCTAAAGCAATTACTGTCAATGGAGCTCTGTATTGGATGTGGTATAAGATGGACGAAGAATATTATGATAGTTATGATCCTGCATTGATGGTTTCGTTTGATATGGAAATGATAGTGTTTACAGTAATACCAGTACTTGTTTTAGGATTTAATAATAATTATGAACTCTCTCTATTTGATAACAAAGATGAGGAAGAACAAAGAGGAAAAGTAACTTTTTTTGGCAAGAGGAAAAGTGACTTTTATAAATATAAAAGATTTAAGTACAATACTTGAACTTTGACAATATATAATACTAGCTAGATATACATTATTGAATAAAAACTCCAATAGTTATATTGAAAATCTAACTATTAATATAATAATGAGCTTTAAGCTAATTAACATAGTGTTCATGGGATGCGTTGGGATTGATGCATCCATATATTATGAATTTGAAATTTAGTTGTGGATAGTGGATAAACAATTGATGTTGATTTGAGATACAATTTTTTAGGAATTATAACTCTGATACCACATTTAATAAATGAAATGTTGTCGAAGGAAAGTCAGGGAAGAAAACAAAAAGGGAAAACTGGGTTTAATTGATTCATAAAAGTTAAGTATAATATGTAAATTTTAACACTGTATAATACTAAATATGCATTGGAAACTTCATTTAGTTACAACTAAAAATTTTAACTATTAATGTAATAATGATGTGAAAGCTAACATAATAGTGTTCATAGGATGAGATAGAATTGAAATAGCCTTATCCCGTGTTCCATTCCAAAAAAAAAAAATCAAGACTAAAGATAATAATTTTAGTATTAAGATCTTTTAGTTTTTGTTTATCAATAAAGATAGTCAATTTGTATGAAGTTAGCACTTCAACTATCTTCAAAGATAGAAAAAACTATAAAATAATTAATAACATGACCTCCCATATGAAATTTGAATTTTGAAGACATAGTGAAAATTAGTATGGTCAATTTGTTTGTTAGCGCATATGTAGTCAAGCTATGTCTCAAATCAATATACTTTTTATTACCTATATTAACCAACTGCGTCTGATGTGTTTTTATTATTATACCACCCATATATTTTAATTTAATGTCCTAGCTATGAGTATCATCATGCTTTTTATTTTATAACTTTTTCATGTCATAGATTAATGATACTTATTGATTATATTGACAAAAGAACATTATGATACATGCAATAAAATTTGATTGATAGTAACTATATAATTATTTATAAAGGTAAAGTTTCACAAAGCAATGGGCCGGATATTCTATAATTTTTTTTATTTTTAAATATCATATGCCACTTTTTTTACCTAAAAAAATTTGTCAGCTTTAAATGTCATACCTTTTGTTTATTGGTTCTTGAAACTTTGGAGATGATAAAGTTAAATTTGTAATAAATGAAAATTAAACACACACTGGGTTTTATAATTGATGATAGCTTGTTATGATGATTCAATGAACGGCTAGACTGCCTATAATTATTATTGGTTCCCAAATTTGGAAGGTAATGAACTATTAACCATGGAGAATAACATAGTAGAAATTAACCTTCATTCATGAACCATCAATAACATTATGCTAAAACATTGGTGTTAAGAGCCACAAGTTTTTTTTTTTTTAAGGAATTTGAATACTTTTGTTGGGAGAATTACATACAACTCCTACTCAATACAATTGTGTTGTCATTATCTTAAACTCAGTTGTCAATGGGTTTGAGAGTAATAATTATATTGAGTGGGATCTTAGAGTAATTAATTTTTCCAAACTTTTCTCACTACTTCTTGTGTGAAGAGCTAGCAGTTTTTGAAAAATGACAATAAAATCCCTCTTAAATATATAAATGATAATTTAATCTCTCAAAATGTAATAATTTCACTGCAGTCTCTAGGGATTTTCTTCTATTAATGAATTTATGCAAATGATCAAATTGCTCTTGTTGAAAATAAAATAATCCACAAATTTGTTTAAATAATCATAATTTTTCTTCTTATATTGTAACAATGCAACAATAAATTATAACTTTGCATGTTAAATTCTTGATTTGCTGTTACATTATCGTAAAATAAAAAAAAAAGTTATGATTATTTAAACAAAACTTGTGAATTATTTTATTTAATAAGGGCAATTTTATTATTTATATAAATTTATTAATGACAGAAAAGTCTTTATATAAATTCATAATGACAGAAAAGTCTCTAAAAAATTTTAGTAGAATTATATATTTTGAGAGACTAAATTGTTACTTATATATTTTAGAGGAATTTTTATTATCATTTTCTCCTTTGTTTTAATTTTGGGAAGATGAATATCTTTTTCCCTATTTAGTTACCGTACAAGGATTGCATTGCATCGTATTAGTAAGTGGTACAATTATCCAAAGACATTTCTATAGTGCTCACCTTTATTGACTCACTATTAAT